TTCTTTGTGGAAATGCTGCCAGAGCTCTAATTCTGTTTTGCAGTGACCCCATAGCTTGTTCTGCTTTCTGCTAGAGAAGATGTGCTGTCTGAGGTTTGTGTTGTCCAGGCTGCTTCACTTTGATGAGGAAGATTAATCAGTTACAGCAGAGGTACTACTGTCCCTCCCAGCCAACAGCCTACTGGCAGATCTTCCGTATTCACTCATGTTAGGTGAGAAATCAAAATCGTTTTCACTTCGAAGAAAACTAAGACAGTATGAGTGTTTCTACTGCACACCTGACAAGCAGGAAAAAGACAAAACACTCCAAAGATGTGTTTTCTTCAAACAAGAACTTATTTTGCTTTCTTCCAAAAATGCTTAACTCTCATTTGTTTAAAGTATTTTTAAAATTGTGTGTTTGCTGGACATGTGAATGCAAAAAAAAGAACAAATATCCCTGTTCCCCCATTCCTCATGTTGGAGGGATTAAGTAGAAAACAACACCTCAGAAAAAGGAATGGTTTCAGCCCTTCCTTAACCTTTTTCTAGATCACCCTGTGGGCAGAAGGCGCTCCACTTCCATTTTGAAGACCTTCACTTGAGTGCAACTGGCCTGTGGACTTATGATGGATCTAACTGATTATGAGCATTACCACGAGAGAAAAGTTCACAATAACAAGAACGCAAGCATGAACTGCTCACTGCTGTCATTGATGGACATGGTAATGGATGGTACAAGTGTTCCACAGGCTAGGGACAGGACAGGATGAGTGCATCAGACAACATCCTGACTGCTGGAAATGATTTATGCCTTTTTTAATCCGTTTACCTTCTACAGTAAGGTTTTAAAATGGTATTTTGAAGAATTAAAGTTCCCCAAGTTTATCTATAATAATATGTATATAATTTATATATTTTTATCTTTATGCTTATGTATTACAATGAGTCTGCTTTTAGTGCATAGTTAAGAAAGAAAATGATAGTTACTGAATATGGAAGAATGATACATATACCTTTAACATGAAAATTTCAAGACCATTTCACAGTGCAAGATTGATGCAACTTTCTGTGACAAAACAGTAATAAATTGAATATATCAACTGTAAAACTATATTGTTAATGATGTATGCAAAATTTGTAGTTTAAAGAATAGGGAATTTTTCTTCTTTTCAATGATTACAACTATGGTCTCTGAGTCAAAGCTCAGATCAGAAATTCCTCTTTAAAACCTCAAAGTAGCTTTAGCTTTTACTAGGAAAGAAACAATGCTTTTTGTCCTGAAGTCAACATTTATTGAGCTTTCAACACTCCACATGCTTGAATTATGCCTCAGTGTATATTTATTCCATAGATTCAGTGTTAGTAAATTGTATCTGCCAGACCAACTAAGCATTTAAACACACAGGTTAAAAAAAATTCAATTCACTGTACTGAAACCATAAAAGTAGTCAAGGGGTATAATTTTTAAAATAAACAGGAACTTTTCCTGAGCAAAAAGTTCAGGATTAGGAAAAATTATTTTTATTAAAAATATATATATCCATTTTTAATTCATAAGAGAGAGGTTCCACTGCCAAAAAGCTTCTCTGCAGCTTAGTGTTAAAATATAAAATTGCATACGCAATGTTTCTGAACATTTGAAATGTACTGAGTATGTGCTTACACGTACTTTCAAATATCTGTTCTTATTTTAAGCTAATAAAACAGAAATCCAATGAGTGTGTGGTATGTATGAAATCCTCAGTGCCTGTCCTAACAGCAAACCATGCCCAGGTGCAGCTGGAGCTCACAGAGCGGGGCTTTGAAGTGGAGGTTGGAGGCAGAACATCCTCAACACCCAGGCAGTTTCAAAATAACTCCAACAATCCACCTGCAATCTACTAACAATGGAAGTGGTTGTAAGTAAATTTTATCCTGTTAATTTTCAAATCTCTGCTGCGTCTATAAAGAGCAGTATTAGTCAGCCTTACCGACTTCAAAGTCTTGTGACAATTTCTAGCTGCAGCCGCAGGAACACACCTTACGAGTGAGCAACTGCAGTAATTTCCTCAAGCTGCTTTACATCTTCAGTTTCCCTGTTCCTGTAATTCCTTTTTAAAACAGAAAGGAAGCAGGAAAAATTTGTCCCTGGTAAAGGAGAGCAGAGCACCAAGAAGTTTGACTGCCCAAATATACTAGAAATAAGTTTATTTCTATGCTAAGCCTTAAATCCTAGTAGGATCTCCAACTTAACTACATACAAATGCTGGGGTTAATTATCAGAGAAGTATGGGAGGGGGGAAGGAAGGTCTAGTCCCTTTTCTTCAAAGCTTCAATTTTACCCATGCTACTCTGAAGTTTAGAATCTAAATACATGAGGAAGACTTTATTCTAGAATAATTGGGAAGTAATTTCAATCAGGAACTAAAAATTTAATAACCACTTTATAAAGGTAAAGCATAGCAGAGAAGTCATTAGTGTTCTAGCTGGGCTTCCTAGGAAAACATTAAGTAAAAAATCTTCTAAGAACTGTAGAAAAGAACGAAAGAAGGGAGAATAGCTGAAGTTTCTCAGATAAAGAGGAACTGATGCAACACAAAGTTTGCTAGAATCTCAAAATCTCTCAAAACATAGCAGCAGGTGTGATTGGCTGTCTTAAAAAAAGCTCATGTTATTTTTCGATCTTTAGATTTCACAGTATTGATCTCATTAAGCTAGTGTTTTCACATTGTAACTAGAGTAAATGTAGTTGCTCTACAAAAGCTGTGGAGTAATGTTGCAAATGAATGATGAGTATTTAATAATTGACTCAACTACTTTTAAGTACAGATCTAAAATAGACTTGGAGTGGTGAAAAGTAGTGGTAAAGATACAGCTGTCTGAAGCGATAAAAACATTTCATTAATCCTTAAAAGTAAACACTCTAAAACGTTAAGTAGCAATGTAGAAATCATTGCAGCTTATTTCTGAAGGTATGGAAAAAAGTTTTCTTTGTGTTCATTTGTTCTAATGGATGAACTATTTTTTTCTAGTCAATGGAAAAAGAAAACCAATGAGTCTGACAGTCCTTCAGGTGAGATATTTCCTAAGCACTTACTGCCATCAAAAAAGAGCTGATGTGATACTTTTAGATAACAGATCAAAGACACGAAAGGAGTGCCAAACAATAGTTTGCCTTAGAAAACAAACAAACAAAAAATTAAAAAAAAAAAAAAAAAAATTACAATCCACAATAAATAGATGAGATGCAGGAATTTTAATTTTTCCATAAGACATTTTCAGCATTCTACTATGCTTTCAATATAGCATAAATTGACCAGTTTTCTAAAAAGATTAAATAAGGCAAAGGAAGCAAGCTTTCCTACTTAATGACAGGATCTAAGAAAGAATACTATGAAACAAGACTTTCCAATTACTATAAATGCCACACAAAAATAGAAAGCAGCACATTAAACAGTCTTTGTCATTTCTTCAGACAATGAAATAGAATGAAATTGATAAATTCTTCTTGAGCACAAAAAGGCTGAATCAATGTCATACATACGATCGCATATTTATTTTGGCCTGTTGAAAAAAGGGTAAGACTAGAAGAGCAAGGAAGTTCAAAAATATTGTCTGCTACCATCAACCTACAGTTGATAAACTGAAAGGGGAGGATTGAAATTTCAGCTTTCCAGAAACAGTTTCATGTCACTTTAAGCAAGATTGTGCCTCTGTATTTGTTTCTGACTGCCTTAATCTGTGTATTTGCAGTGAACATAAGGAGGACTTTGATCAAAACACAACATGCATTTTACACAACAAGGAAGTCTACAGAGAGGCACTACATTTACAAAAGCAATTGAAAGGGGTTTCAAAGGGAGTTGACAGATTAGAAGATGATGACACTGCTGCTGCAGTCTCAATGGAAATCTGGCTTGATCTAATTAACAGCAACGAACTAGAACCACAAAATGATAATTCAAACATGATTTAAAGAAGTTATATCACCTTTTTATTACCTAAACAATGGAGTTTTTCTCTCACAGATAACAGAACAAGTCACAGGTTGAACACAGAACAGGAATAAAAGGCTTGATGCCCTTAATTTTACTCTACCGTATGGGAGAAAAACCTCCCATTAATCCTGAATATTTTTGTTCACTGTGCTCCCTCAACTTATGAGCAGTTTTATTTTATTTATTATTTTATTTCTTTTTTATCTGTAGAGAAAAATAGAAGGCCAAATACATTTCATGTAGTCTTAGGATATCCTTCAGTTTAATGAGTAAAAACGCTAGTGAATGATTTGTGCTGACACTTCGACAACTGTCAGTATGAGCAGACGTAAGCTCATATGCAGTCTACAGTACAAGAATTTCTTTGCATCTTGGTTCTGAAGCAAATTCTGTACTGGCTCATCCTCCATCTTATATGACAGTCACTGTTGCTAACATCTAATGTAGCTAATATAGCATGTGCTTGTATGCATACATACACATGTATAATGACATACTGTCATCCTGGCATTTTCTACTTTATGAATTATGCGCATGGGAAGCGCATTATTAGCTGCTTTCAGAAGAAATATGTATGTTTGTCAGGGAATCACAGAATGACCAAGATTGGAAAAGACCTCTAAGATCATCCAGTCCAGTCATCCACCTATTACCAATATTTCTCACTAAATCATGTCCCTCAATACAACATCCAAATGTTTCTTGAACACCTCTAAGTACAGTGACTCCATCACCTGTAGAAGCTACAGTAATCTGAATACCAAAGTGCTCTCTGACAACTTAAAAGACAAGAATATAAGGAATCTCCAAGTAAGTGAATTGTTTCATTTTCCTTACACTTATATTCTTGCTTTTTCCTTTTGCACACAATTAAAAAAAAAACTTCCTTAATTGTAACTAGTAGTAGTTAACTCTTTCTAATACTACTGTATAGAAATAAACTGTCTCAATATCAAACTTAGAAGTGCAATACAGTATTTTGTACAGTATCACTTAAGATTTTTTTCTCTTTGATCCTCAAAATCACGTATATACTTTTACCTTTGTGTCATAATTTTGTAGGCATCGGGAAGGAAGCATTCTGTGTTCTCCATCTGGAAAGGGTCAGCATCACAGATCTTGTCATCTGTCCGTCCATAGTTAGCACTTTCTATCATAATAACATCACTTCCTGGACACCGGAGGTCAATGGAGTAGCCTTCACAGGAGAGCTCTCTCCTAACCAAACCAAATGGTAGTGCTGCTCGGCTGAAACCTGAAAAAGAAAAAAAAATGAGATTGAGTTTAAAGGATATATATTTTTTTTCTGTGGCATAGGCAGTAACTCTCAACAGTATGCTAGAGGTAAAGGAAGTGCACCTTGAAACAGTTTGACCCGCTACCAAGTGAAGCAGCCTTCATGAACCTGTCACATCCTGACATCACTTCTGCTGTGTCCTTAATCTGGGAAGAGAGAAAATTCCTCTTCGCTACTTCTAACCCTTGACAAGGCAGCATGCCTGCAAGGTTATTCTGTGCATTCCTGCTCTCACCTCTCTTCTCTCTGCTTCTTTCACCCTGCTTTGGGCACTGGTCATGTGGAAAGTGGGGAAGCAGTAGAGCAGGCTAGAGTTGAAGAAACAGAAGTGATTTAAAAAACAAAGCAAAACAAACGAAAAACCCCCCCACACAGAAACAAAGCCATTTCAAGTTAATTTTTATCTCCATTCCCAAGAACAGTTCACTTTCTTTTGCTCATCTACTTTATGTCCCCAGCATGGGTATGTCTGCAACACTAGATCTAATATATATTCTGATACCTAACTGAACTTCACTTCTTGCTATACGTTTTACAGAAATTAAACCACAGGAGGAGCAAAAAGACTTTGAACAAATGCATAAATGACTAGTACAACAAACTGCAGATGAGCACTGTACAGAATGTCTCTCTCCCTCCAAAAAAGTATTTCAAAGAATTCTTATTTTGAAAACACATTTTTCTGCGTGAGCAAATTCTAGTAAATAGGTAACCTCTCTCTAATGAAGTAGTATTAATTTATGGAAAACATACATACAATATCAAAAAACTGTACAATCCCTTGTACATAGCTACTGGTATATTATTATTAAATAGAATCTTTCTGTCTCTTACAAAATGAGGGCACTACCAAGAACTAGAGGACAAGCTGAGTAACACGGTAAGTGATAAATACCTGTATCTTTAAAATGATCTCTGATAAATTTTCAGCAGAATTACACGTATTTCCTTTTTTTTTTAAAAAAAAGTTGCCCTCAGAGAGCAGCACAAGGCCATTAATATTTCAGTGCAGGCTGTTGGAGACAAGTTGTGACAGCAAAGAAAAACAGCTAGTAAGTATACAAAGTTGGAACTCTACAGTGTTTTGAAAGCAAAGAAAATAAGCTTTTTTTTTTATTAAAAAAAAAAAAAAAAAAAAAAAGAAGTCTGATGCGTTAGAAGAGGCAAGGAAGCTAGGATCTAAAAAGATCAAGAATAACTTAAGATAACCCCTTGATAGTAAATTTTCATATGAACCAGAGGCTGACACTTCTTCTGCTGAATTAATGATCTGTAGATTCAAACTCCTACCATATGAACGTGATGATGTGCTACGATTTTGAGGAAGTGCTGCTGGTAACCGCCATGCTGATGTCCGGACATGGCTCCCTAGCAGCCATCTTCCCATCCACCTGTCTTCCTCTCTGTAACACCACTGACTTTTGCTCAAGTGGATGATGTGCAGAGGATGAGCACCAGGCCACACTGCACCCAGCCTCTCTGGACGTAGCTGAGTTTGCTTCTTTTAAATTTTATGCATCCTATGCAAAAGGGGGAACTGCTGCCTGCCAATGCTTTAGTATTCACTAACGAGTGAAAAGACCATGTTGCTGTGGAAAGCACAATTCCATTTAAAATGCACTTCTGGCTGAAGGTTTGGCTGAACATGTCATATGTAATAACAAACACTATTATTACAGGCTTGCTGAAGTATCATGAGCTGAAAGCTCTAAAGAGTTGAAATGCGAATCTATCGCATTAACACCCTATGTATTCCTCCCATGCAGCAAATTAATACAATGAAGACAGAATCTGTGCACAGCTCACCGAGGGCATGAAATAGGCACAGAGAGGGGCCCAAACGAGGCCCACACCACACAAACATGCAGCAGTTTTTTGATTAATTACCATCAAGACAGCCACAGCGGGACCAAAAGCAATGCTGCTGGTGATTGCCATTCCTACGTCCTAATAATCCTGTCAAATTTAACACCATCCCCATAAAACTCGAACCTTCCAGCTCACAGAAATGCTGCTTGCACACCTTGCAAACAGCAGAGCTGCCTCCAGCAGGGGCTCAGGCAGCATCCTCCCACGGGAGCCCCCTGCATGCCACCGCACAGCCCTGCCTTCAGGTTTCCATCAGTAAGGAAAGTGAAACCACTGGTTCTGCTACCCAAAGGGGAATTCTGCCAAACAGGAGAGGCTGCAGGCTGATAATCCTGAGGTCCAGCATATGGATAGGTACGGTGCCAGCCTGACACAACCATACCAAGCTGGTTGTGATGAGCATCAAACCCTTCCTGTAGACCCAGCAGCGCAGCCAGTACTTCAGACAGGATGAATTCAAAGACAAGAATGCCATACTTCTGCAGAGATTAGCTGCCTGCAAATCCGACTTCAACATTTGCAGCATTTGGGCACTGCTGAAAGCACTGTTCATGTATTTCAACATGCGTAATTTTTCCCCCTGCAGACATCTAGGAGAAGTTCCGTATTAGGACAAATATTCAAAATACTACACCAAGGTTAGGTCACCACCAGCAACACAAGACACATCAGAGATTGTTATGTACTTGCAATATTGCAAAAGCAGCAGTAAATAGAACCAAACAATGCAGCATGTATTAGGTGGGAAGACTAGTCTAAGGAATTGTCATGGCACAGAATTTTAACTAAATAAAATAAATAAAATTTAAGTCCACTAAGAAAACTGCTGCAATGTTTATTCTGAAGCTTTATCTGTAATCTTTCCCTATCAACAAAGAAAAAAAAAATAAGCATATCAACAAGCAAAGTGTAATTCAATCCATCTTGCAACCCTGACAATCGAAGAAAGAACTAGTGGGAGGCCCTGTGAGCAAAAAATCAATATTGCAGCTTTGTGTCGTGCAAATGTGAATACTGCCAAATAGCAGTGCTTAGGGTAAAATGAACTGTTTTGCTCCATTTTCTCCTCTCTGAACAAATGATTTTGAAACGACAGCTTTTTTTGGAGCTATAAAATGTCAAGCAATAACTCCCTGTGCTTTAGGCAAGTGATTGGAATAAATACCTCTTGGCAACAGGTGCAATGACTTAGGACTGAAATTCATTTACATTCAGGAGATAATTCCCGATAAACAGATGCACTGCCACAGGATGGAAGCCTGAAAGACCGGCATCTTAACACTGCTGCCCAGTTCTGCACTATTCCAGGTCTTTTCAGACATAAACATGTAGCTCTGTCAATAATTACTGTTGTCACTAGTAAATCCGTATTTCCAGTGCAACTCCTCATGAGTACTTCCAACATCGTATTTTCTAACCAACCTGCATTCAGCCTGCTCAGCTTTGCTTTGCTATACCTTGCAAAAATATATTTTGTTTGGGTGTCCTGTACAGCTGAAATCACCATTCCATCCTTGTGCTAATTGCTTCAGGGCAAACTGAGCAGTGACATCAAAGGAGGAGTGTCCCTGTAAAGAGCTTCCTGATCACCACAAACACTTCTGGGGCCAGGACTGGCACTTTGCATACATCATGAACAGTAACCCACATAAGATCTATTACTTATCTATTACCAAATGCCACATCTGCTACTGCATACGCTGTCTCTGATTCAGCTGTATACATGTATGGGTTTTGCCTTTTTTTTTTTTTTTTTTTTTTTAAATGAAGGAAGAATAATAGCTACTGAAAAAAAGAGCATGGTTTCTGTCATGCTGACTGTTTTGATTATAAGAAAACTTCCTGGCAAACATGTTTCCTGCACATTTTATCTTCTCACAAATCAGTTGAGCTCTTTACTGAAAAAAAGAAAAACTTCTTTTACAAAATCACCATTTTAAGGAAAAAAGGTAGAGGGGATATTCAGTGGTAACAAGCATTCTTTAATGCTTCACTGATCAATACAGAAACACTGAGAAAAAATATCAAAATGAAACAACACAAATAAAAATCTTCCCTCTTGTACTTTAGTCTGTGAATTTAAAGCATACATCTCCTACAAAAGAAATGTATCTCAGAACTGTGTTTCTGAAATATATCAGATTCACATTTGGCTAAAAAACGCTTAATATAAATTTGCAATGCCTTATTTACCACTGGTTCCTTACTAAGAAATGATTTGACTATAGAAAGATAACCTAAATTTGTCAAAGTCCAAAGGAAAGTTAATAATTCACAGCTTCCTGCCCACTAGCACTCCATCTTTTTGAGCTGTCAATAATAAGAGTGTGTGCTAAGTTTGGTAGATAAAAGCAAAAAGGAGCCACTACATTTGAATGTTCACCCCATACAGAGGAAAAATACTGGAATGTAAACAGGCTAACATCAGTACTTCTCAACATCAGAAGCAAGGAACCTTTGATTAAAACTTAAAGCACTGAGAGAGTAAACATGGAAATATAAAATTATTTCAAAGAATGCGAATACTGGAAGAACTGAGGTTCCAAAATAAATCTTTGCAGAAATATATATAAAATCTCAGTGAGTAAGGAAATACTGCTTTTTGTGTTATTTGGCTCTAACAGAAAGGTCTTCTAAAAAGAGCACATCTTTTGAAACAGAATGTTTACAGTTGTATCTTTCACAATCTCTTTTATTTTACCAAATCACGAAACATGATGGTTCAAGTTCGACACAAGATGAAGTAATGCATCTTGGGCAGAATTTCAATAATATATGTTGAGCAAACGCAGAGCCCAGTAAAACCTGCACTCAGCATCCTTTCAGTTGCTTGGTGAGGTGCAGACGCGTGCACAGATGTTACACAGGGCAGCCAAACACACTTCACCATCTGAAAATCGTGTAAATTCTGAACATGGGCTCTGCAGAGCATTTATAATTCTTGAAAAAAGCCTCAGCTTCCTGCATTTTCTAAAGAATCCTAGGAACTACGTATGTCAAGGGAGGCTTTTCTCTCTGTCTCTCAGCACCGTATACGTTTCATATAGATAAGCATGTGATTTTGTTAAACAGCTTTTAAATTATCCAAT